CGGTAACTAATCATTATTAAAAAGTTTTTTTTTTGTTGTTGAAAATAATTAATTATAACTGTTTTAAAAAGGTTTTAAAACCTGAAATCTTACCTATACTATATACTAAGAATCGTGCGTTAAATTAAATCAAAAATTAAATTTCTGAACGTACTTTTCTCTCTCTCTCTCTCTCTTCTGATACCCCACACATGAGACCTTGTGGTTGGATTCGGATTGAATGCAGCGTGACTAACGTTTTTCTCTTATTAATACGACAGCAATTAATTTGATATAACGAACGAATAACTTAAATGGCGTCAAATCAATTATTTAAATTTTCTTCATCTCTCTCTTCCCCTCTCTCTCTCTCTTTCTCTCTCTCTGTACCCGTTTAATTTTTCTTTTAGTGTTCATTACGGGTAAAAATTAAGAGAAAGAGATTATTAATTTCTTTCTAAAGGATGACCGAATGGATTGAAAAAGAAAAAGAGAGAGAGAGAGAGAGAAATCAATTAGAGCGAATTTTAATTAATAATGAATTTCATCACAATCCGATGATCGATGTTGACCTTTTGAACTCGAACCTTTGATCATCAGTGTCGTATTTGCAGGTGTAACGTTATTATGGTTCTTCGTTCGTTCGTTCGTTCGTTATTAAAACGGTTTTAAAATGATGTCTGAGAGAGTTGGTAAAAAGTACCGTTACACGTGTAGAATGTGTTAATAAATAACATCGACAACGATTATTATTATTATTATTATCATTTTTGTTACGACGGGCGAAAGAAATATCGCGAGTCGGACAAGGGAAAAAAATAATGCATTGTGGGGGAGGGAGGGGGAAGGGGGAAATCTAAAAAATTCTCTTTCTTCCGGTTCAGCAACATCCTGTCTCTCTAAAAAAAAAAAAAAATCGTTTTCAATTTTTCTTTTTTTTTTTTTTTTTTTTTTTATTAAAAAATTAATTAATCAATTTAAGGTTGATTTATTTGGGGGGGGGAAAAAAAGTTGTGAGGAGTCGATAAGTCACGACGGGGATTAACACCGTTTTAAGGTATGCATGCACACATGCTCGCTTTCGGTCCCCTCCCCCTTCCCGTCGATATTTTTATTTTCTCTCTCTCTCTCTCTCTTTCTCTTCCGTCTGGTAAATAAATTTTTTAATTTTATCCATTTAAAAAAAAAAGAAAAAAAAATTCTTCTTCTTCCACGTCCGAAAAAAATGTATGTCATTTATATATATTAGACATTTTTTTTTAATTTCACGACGCGCAAATGTCGATGGAAACTGGATTTTGTCATTGTCATCGCCCGTGATGTTTTTCTTATCGTTATCATTATCATTATCATTATTATTATTATTATCATTATCATTAGTTTTTTTTTCGCATTTTCCTAAGCGAGAAAATTTCGCGACGCGTCGTTATTTATTGTCCGTTATTATTTATGAATTTTCAAAAGTACTTTATTAAAAATTTATTATTATTATTATTATTATTATTATTATTATTATTATTTGTTAAAGACTGAAGGTATTAATAATGTTGTTGTTGTTTAATTATTTATTTATTTATTTATTTATTCATTCAGGAAAAATTATTTAAAATAAAATATAAAAAAAATTTAATGAATTGACAACAATCGGCTTTCACATTCTTCTTCTTCTTTTTTGCGGTCGTTAACAGCTGCCGATAATGATGATGATAATGATGATGATAATGATGATGATGATGATGTTTCGGTTTAAACGATAAATTTTCCTTTTGTTCTTTTTTTTTTTTTTTTTTGTTTATTTCCTCTTTGGCTTAGCTGAAAACGTTTATTCATTTCAGATTCGATATGTTTGATTGATTCAATAAAAACGATGTTTCCCTGTCGGTAAAGTAATTTAAAAAAAAAAAAAAAATGGCGGAACAACGAGAGAGATGATCATTTTCGAGTGTTTGCGAGACTATGAATTATGGTTATTCAATGTTCGTGCGAGCCTGTTATTTTATCATTATCATCATCATCATCATCATCGTCATTTTTCTTTTTTTTTTCAGCTTGTTAGAATTTTCATTGTCGGTAAAAATGTTTTTTTTTTTTTGTATAGAAAGAGTCGAATGATGATGATGATGATTGATTGCATATTATTTTTCAATTCACGAATTCGATTGATGATGTTTAAATGAATTTTAATTGTTTTAAAATAATTTTCTTTTCTTTTTTATTTTACCGCCAAAAAAATTTTTCTTTTTTAACGTTAATTTTTTCGTTTGTTTGTTTGTTTTTTTGTTTGTTCGTTTGTCGCGTTCGTTTGAAAAAGTTGGCGAAAATACTACCGATGATGCGAATTTCTTCGACGCGTTCGTTTGTTTTATACGTGGTCGAGTAATTATTTTTCAATTAATAATAATAATAATAATATTCCTTTGTAATTTTCAATTTTTTTTTTTCCGCTGTTAAATTGTTATTAAGTATCTTACGTAATTTCCCCCCCCCCCCGCCCCGCCTCCTCCGACTTGTTAAATAATTAGTTTGTTTAAGGAAAAATTTTTTTTTTTTTTTTTTTTTTTGTTTGGCATTTCAAAAACGAGAGAAGAATATTTAAAAAAAAAAAAAAAAAAAGGAAAAGGGGAGGGGGGAGGAAAATTATAAACGATTCGGGTTAATAATGTGAAAAACCTTTGGAGGCGGTCACAATAAAAATTCGGTCAAGGAACAACCGTTTGTTGTGATTGTTGAAAATATTTTGCTGATGGTTTCGTCCTTCTTTGAACAAAAAAAAAAGAAAAAAAAAAAATTGCGTTTGTTGCATGGAATGAAGTTATTAAATAATTAATGAACTGTCGGAAAAAAAAAAATGAAAAGTTTTCAGAGTTGGGGGGAAGGGTGGGGAAATGCGATGCTATTGACACGATGAAAAATCACCCTTTTAATGGTGTTATAATTAAAAAATTAAGATTTGTCGCCACGAAATTATTTTTTTTAAAAAAAATTTAACATCGATCGGTGAATATATCATTTCGGGGAGGGGGAGAAACGATTTTTCTTCTGCCACGAAAAATGGAAAAGCTATTTATTGTATGCGGATGGAAACAATCTATCACACTTATTTATTTTTGGTTTTGTTATCGTGGAATTAAATAGGCGTGAGGCCAAACTTTTTTTTATAAAAAAAAACGTAAATTATCGAAAGAGGAAAAAGACAAAAAAAAAAAAATGATTTGTTTGTTTTAAATGGAAAACACACATCGTTTGTTGTTATATATTATTATTATTATTATTATTATTATTATTATTATTATTATTATTATTTATTATTATTATTATTATTATTATTATTATTATTATTATTATTTTTGCAGTTTTTTTTTTTTTTTAGGAAACTCGAAAATTTCTTTTATTATTACAAACGAAATTAATGACTCAGTTAGATTTTTTTTTTTTTCGGGGGGGCCTCGAGCAAAGTTTTGTTCGTTTGTTTTCATTTGTTTTTTTTTTCCGTCTTCCTGTCGGTTGTTTTCATTCATTCGTTGTTTGTACGGTTTATTCTGCTCTCATTTTATAATTATTATTATTATTATTATTTTTTTTTTTTGGGTTTACGTTTTTATTCTTCGTTTTCTCTCTTTTTACGAACGTATGAAATCAAGCTTGAAAATTATTATTATTATGTAGTTTTTCATTCCTTTTAAAATTTCCTCTTAATTGCATTTTCGAAATTGTAATTTTTTTTTTTTTAATAAAAATCGGAGGCTTTTATAAAAACTCATCGCGAGAGCTTCTCTTCCTACATTTTTTTTTTTTTTTTTTTTTAAATAGAAAGTTAGCGTGGGATTCTTTGTCACAGATTTCAAGCTTTGATTTCGTACAAAACGCGTTTTCATAATATTTAATTATTAGTTGTCGTCGTCGTCGTCGTTGTTGTTGTTGTTGTTGTGCAGATGTTTAATAAAAAAAAAAAGTTGTAGTCGTCGTCGTCGTCGTCGTCACGACAAAACACAATTTTGAAAAAAAAACTATAAAGAAAAAAGTTTAAAATGCTGACATTAATGTGACTGACTGACGGTTGTAATTATCATCGTGAAAAAAAAGAGAGAGAGAGAGAGAGAAAATGGTTTTTTTCGTCCCCTCTCTTTTTTTAAATAGTCATAAAAACACACACACAACATATATTCGCATTTATTTTGTGTTTGTTGCTATTTGAAATTGTTTTGGAGCAACCGTTGATTGCCTTTTTTTTCTTATAAATGTTTAAAGGAAAAAAAAGAACAACAACAACAACAACGACGATTAAATTTTATAAACTGGAAAAAAAAATGGAAAAAAAAAAAAAAAACTTATGAATATTCAATGAGCGTAACTTTCCCTTGCAATAATAGTTTTTTTTTTTTTTTTTTTTTTTTTTTTCCCCGTTAAAAAAAAGTTGAATTTTTTTTAATTTTTGGGAAAAAAAAAAAGAAAAATGGTAGCAGACGACGAATAATCATTTCAATTTTCTTCGTGAAAAAATTATTCATTTTTTTTTTTTTTTTTGTTCGATTAAGAAATTTTTCAATTTCGAAATGATTATTCGTTCACTATTATGTATATCTCATTAAAAAATTATTATTATTATTATTATTATTATTATTATTATTATTATTATTATTATTTAATTATCAAACGAATATTCAAAGAAAACGATCGAATTTCGATATATAAATCGATAAATTTGAAATGAAATTGAAATTGGCGCGAAAAATCGAAATATGGCGCATTTCCTTTTCCTCCTTCCTTTCCTCATAACGAATTCAATTTAAATTTAATTTAATTTAATTTAATTTTTTTTTTTTTAATTTTGATTTCAGAAAATGAACGATAAACTTTAACAAAGGGAAAATATTTACAAAAAAAAAAAAACAAATTCAATTCAGCTTCCCTTTTGTTTTTTTTTCTTCTTCTTCTTCTTCTGCTTCTGCTGCTGCCACTGCCGCTGCCGCCGCCACCGATATCAGAAAAACCTTGAGATAGAGAAAAAAGGGGGAAAAAAAATGTCGGCGACGACGATTTATTGTGATAATTTCGTTGGAAACGCATGGAAGAAAGATTTGTGTTTGAATTGTTTCAAAAGTAAAGAAGACCACGTGATTAAAAATGGATTTTCTCAACCTGTCACGCCGGCGAGAATACCTGATCCTCCCAAAGAAGTAAGTAGTAAATGATGACTTTTCTCCTTTATTATTATTATTATTATTATTATTATTACTTTTTGTTTATTCTCTCTCTCTCTCTCTCTCTTTTCATTAAATGTTAATAAAACTCTCATTTTTTTTTTTTTTTTTTAAATCGCAAAACTATGTAACGTAGTAGAAAAAGTTTCGAATGAATAAATATTTAAACGCAAACGGAATATAATTGTGATGGTGGTGGTGGTGGTGGTGGTTGTTTGTTGTTTGTTGTTTGTTGTTTTTTTAGTTTCTCAGCGAAATTTTTATTCGAAACGCCAAACAAGTTTTTTTTTCTAAACTATAGTTCGTGTGTTAAATTCAAAGTGAATTCGTTCTCTGTATCTCGCGTTTTAAAGAGAAAAATTGTTTACTTTTTTTTTATTTATTTATTTTTTGTTTTGTTTTTTCGATTGATCGATTGATCGATCGATCGATAGATCGATCTATCGTTCGGAATATTGAAATTTGCAATTATTGACAGTGGAAATAAAAAAAAAAAAAAAAAAGTGGATGAACGTATTATTATTGCGCGGGATTTTTTTTTCCTCCTTCTTTTTAGTTATTTTATTTATATATGAAAGTTTTTAAAAATTTCTCCATTTTGTCGGAAACGTTTTTTGAATTTTTATATTCGTGCGACTTTTTGTCGAACAATTATTAAAAAAATTGTTTTTTGTTTTAACTTTGTCATTTGTCGACATTTTGAAATTGAATTTTTTTTATTTACAAAAAAATCGAAAAAAAAATTTTTTTTTTAATTTGAAAGTGAAAAATGCGTCGAAATATTAAAAATTTATTATTATTGATAAATAATATTATTATTATTATTATTGTTGTTATTGTTGTCGATCGAATTTGATTTTTATACTTTTTTTTTTTTGTGGGGGAAAAAAAAATTGCTCGGAAAATATGCAAGTAAGATGAAAGTTTTTTTTTTCTTGTTTCCTCTGCCTCTTTTCCAAATGATAGGCAAGTCAAAAAAATAATGTTTGTTGTTGTTTGTTTGTTTGTTTCAGGGAATACTCAAAAGGCCAAATTCGAAAAGTTCAAAGTCGAATAAAGTGATATTTTTAAGTACGGAATTCGAAGTGATCGGATTCGGGGGTGATGATTCGTATTCCGACGACGATTGTCCAGATTCTTGTTTCGCACAAGCGGAAGAAGACGGAGATGACGACGTCGAAGAAACCGAAGAAGACAAAGCGTTTCAAAAACTAACGAAAACAAACACGGATTATAATTCGGTACCGGAAAATCTCAAAGAACCGAAAGAGGGAGAAATCAAAAAGGTCGTCGAGCCTCTCAAGTTGGGAAAACAATTGTTTGACGACAAGGGAAACAAAAAAACTCTGTTGGTTTCCGTGACTCCTTTCGGAGACGCGAACGGAGTCGTTAAAAATAAGATAAACGTGAACGGTGTCAAATCGAACGTGTCACTAGTGAACGAAATCAAAACGAATTCTAATGCGAATTTCGATAATAATAATAAAAAAAAATCGGAGTCGTTGAAACAAAGCGTCGTCGGTCCGATCGTGAAAACGAGACACGTTGATAAAAAGACTGAGCCGTCCACCGTTTGCAACGGCGAAAATGGCGACGACGATGGAGCCATTTTTACGAGTAAAAAAATGGAAAACGTACACGAGGTTACGAACGGCGACGATAGTCCCAATAAGGTGTTATCGAGTGATAAAAGTTTAAAAAGAAGTCAACCCGTTGATAAAAGTTTTAAATTTCGTTTGATAAAAGATTTGCAAAAAGAAAATGAGAAAAATTTCGACTCGTCGAATGAGAATAATCACGTGAGCAAAAGCGAAAAAATAAAATCGTGCGACAAAATGACTAACTTGATAGATAAAGCAAAGAAAAAAGTTAATCAACTTCCGGTAATAAATGGTAGTAATAATAATAGTAATGACACTACGAATTTTAAATTTAAAACAAAAGATTTTACGAATTCGGTAACAAAAAAACATGTGGAAAACAATAATAATAATAATAATAATAAGGCCGTCGTTTTGGATATGTATAAAATTGGGGAAAGCGAAGACGTGAAAACGAACAACGAAATCAACGATGAAAAAACTCTCAAAGGGATTTTGGTGTTGCCGGAAATTCAAAATAAATTCCTGTCGAAAGAAGTTAAAATCAGCGCGACGTTTGCGGACGTGTCAAAAGATGATCCGAGACATCCGGTTAAAAATGGATTTTCGGAAAAGGATTACGGAGATGAGAGGAAAACGGTAAACAAAGATGTCGTCAACGCGCCAAACGAATCCATAATAGATCGTAACAAGTTGATACCGAACGTCTCATCCGTTCACAAGTACCGTCTGACGAATCCGATTCTCAAGAGAGAGGATGAAAATCCCGAATCCCTTTTCCCGAATCCCGTAGTGAAACCTTTAATGAACGGCGTCGTGAGTTCCCTAACGTCTTCTCCATCCGCTTGTGATAAAGATTTCGAATCTCCGATTGTTATTAAAGACGAAAGGAGAAGAGTCCTTTTGGGGAGCAGTGAAAAATTAAACGGGGATTCGGAAGGAGGGAGGGGAGGGGATAGACACCAAGTCGAAATGACGACAAAATCCGACGAAGAAAATTCTGTCACGATGGAGGAGACCGTTGATAAATTTCAAGGAGAACCGGTAAACGGTCACGTAAACGGTTCGACAATGGATTCATCGTCATCACCGCCGCCGCCCGCTCTCCCGTCCAAACCTCCGCCGTCCATCTTGGAATCGAAATCGGGTTTTCTAAACGATTCGAGCTTCGAAGATGATGGGTTTATTAAAGCGGGGGGAACGGAAAAGCCGAAAGTACCTGCCAAACCCATATTGATACAATCGAAGAAAATTAATTTTCAATCGCCGATTCACGCGGTGAGTTTATTATTATTATTATTTTTTTTTCTTTTCTTCTTTCGTCGGTCGCCGCCATATTTAAATCGAAAATTATTATACTTTTTTTTCCCTACTTATTATTATTATTATTACAAACGCAATTTGATGAAGGCCACGAGTTTCACGTTCAGCTCTTTTTTTCCTTTTTTTTTTTTTACTTGAAAACTCAGCATCTTTAGAGAGAAAAAAAAAAAACAAATTGCTCACGGCAAGGCTTTACTTAATGCTTGTTTGTACGGTTTTTTCTTTTTCTTTTTTTCCTTCCTTTGGTGGGGGGTGGGGAGGCGGAAAAAAATCAAACGCCATTTTTACCTTTTTCATATTCGGTTTGATGAAATAATTCAATTTTTCACGCATGCATTTTTCATAGTCCAGACTGTCGGAAACAAACGCTAGCTAGGGTACGTTCAGGAAGGGGGGCATATTTACCTTAGCGGTGTTAAATTACCGTAAAATAGAAACATGGTAAAATCTGGCAGTGCCACTTACCTCTTCTCTCTCTCTCTCTCTCTCTCTCTTTTCCCCCGTATTATATTGTTTTTTTTTTGTGTCCGTTTGACAAAAGGAAATTGTTTTTTTTTTTTTTTTTGCGTTTGATGAGATTTTTAGTCGACGCGAGTCAAGTTTTTTATTTTTTTCGGATTTGATTAAATTAGAAAAAGAAAAAAAGAAAAAGAAACGGGGTCGGCAGGATGTCCTTTCAATTTTTCCATTCTTTTTTTTTTTTAAAAGGGAATAAAAGTAAATTAAAACGCAAAAAATTACAATTTTATTATTATTATCATTTCCAATAAAACAATTTATTGATTTCATTACGTAAGGCGTTTTTTCGCGAAAGATTTCAAACGCGATTAAATAAATGTCGAGTGTTTCGAAGCGTTCGAAATGGTTCGAAAACGGTCGTTTGTTTTTAGAAGGCGGTGGGAGGAAAAGAGGAAGGAAATAGAAGGCGGTGTATCATGCCGTCTATTTACACCGTCCCTTTTTTTTTTACGGGGCGTTCGAATCGTAATAATCGATCGATCAATCGATCAATCGATTTTATTTTTATCGATTATCGAAAAAACTTTTTTTTTATTAATCAAATCAAAATGAAACGTTTTTGAATTCCGATAATTAACACAAAAAAAAAAAAAAAAAAAAAATTAATTTGAGAGACTTGATCTGGTCGTCGTCATCGTCGCCATCGTCTGCTGCTACTTTCTCTCGATTTCTCACAGTTCAAAGTCTTCATTATTATTATTTTTATCGTTATTATCATCATTATCATTATCACTATTATTATTATATCGGATATAAAATTTCTTTGTTTTTTTTTTGGAAACGACTCTGGTATTCTTTGTTTTTGTTTTTCTTCTTCTTCTTTTTTTTCTCCTTCTGTTTTCTTTTTTGTTTTGTTTTCGCACATTTTACCATACAATAAGTTAGTTCGACGTGGCCCCGATGTTCTTAGACCGTAAATCACCATCGGGTTGCACCATCTTTTTTTTTTTTTTTTTTTTTTCTCCTCATTAATTTCTGTATAATAATAATAATAATAATAATAATAATAATAATCAGTTTTACTTTTTTTTTCGTACATTAAGCCCGGGTTATTCGTCACGCGTATTTGAATTCAATAATTTTTGTGTTGTGTGTTAAAAGAAAAATTAAATAAAAATTCGAAAGGCAAAACATAAAAGGAGGAGAAAAAAAAAAAGAAAGCGATAACGTCTTTTCCATAAAAAAAAAAAAAAAAAAAAAAAGGGGGATTCACGTGGACGCCCTTTCCCCCAAACGTAAATAAAACGCGTGATGATGATTCCAAAACCGGAATTTATAGTTTGAAAATATTATTATTATTATTATTATTATTATTAATAAGAAGTGGTGAGGATTTTTTTCTGTACTTCCTTCGTGTCTTTAGATCGTTTGTTTCCATCGTTTGCGGTCGAGTTTTTCGAGTACTCCGATTAATCGAACGTGGAATCAACCAACGGTTTTTTACCAGTTTCGGGATTCAACCTTGTTATTATTATTATTATTATTTTTTTTTTTTCGAAAGTGTGCGCTTGCGTTAATTAATTAAAATAAAAAATAAAATTTTATTATTATTATTATTATTATTATTATTATTATTATTATTATTATTATTATTATTCATTCGTAGAGTGTAAAATTTAAGAAGAAAGTTTAGATTTTCTAAAAAAAAAAAAAAAAAAAACTCGAAGTAAAAATAATAATTAATTGAAACGTTGTGGAATTATTTCGTTCGAGACGATTTTTTTTTTTTTTTTTTTTTTCGAGTGTTGTAACGCGATATCGATAGTTGTTAATTTAACTCGATACACTTCGATAATCGATGGCATAAGCAGTTTTTTTCCCGATCGAATTGCCATAAGAATCGAGAAAATTCGAGTAATCGAATTTTAATGGTTGAGAAAAATTAATTTTTTTTTTTTTTTCTTTCTTTCTTTAAGAATCGTCCAAAGTCTCCGTCGATGGAAAAATTTTTAGATTCTTCGTTGACTCCACAGTCGAAATCTCATCCTCCCCTCACGGAATCCCTGAGTTCGGAAAATGGTAAAAATCAAAAAAGACCCGCTCCGAAACCGCCATCTCCGAAAGAAGATTCGTTTCACAGATACGAAATCGTATTTTCCGATTCGGAAACGGATGTGAAAAGAGAGGATTCGATCGAGCGTGAAGAGGAGCAGCAGCACCAGCAGCAGCAGCACCAGCAACAGCAAAACGTCAAAAGAGTTTATAAAAGCACGGAAAACCTTCTGGAATTTATCGTTGATCAAAGTGAAAAGAATCAACTATGCCCGGAGGGCCTGGAAGAACTTTCCATACTACCTGACACGACGCCGAGGAGAAATTTATCATTGTCGCAAGATAGTTTGGTGTCTTCGGAAGTCGGGTAATAAATGTTGTTTTTCTTTTTCTTTCTCTCTCTTTACTTTCCCCCCTTCTCCCCTCTTTCTCTCTCTCTCTCTTTCGAAAAGTGTATTGTGAGCGAGTCGAATTGTTTTTTTTTCTCTTCTCATCGTCAGGGAATTACAAATGAAGAAAAAAGTCAACAAGGGAAAAGTTTTCTTTCAAAAATTATTGCAATTGGGAAAAGGAAAAGATTCGATAAAAGAATTGAGTCCGAGGCAAAGGAGTCCGATACAAATGAACGGAAAACTCAAATTGGAAATAATACATCCGAACGATTTGAACGGATCGAGAGTCGAAGTCGTTCCTCCCGTGCGAACGTTTAAAAGTCGACGAACGTCGAGTTCGGCGAGTTCGAGTTCCGGAGAACATAGAGTAAGTTTTCTCGTTTGTTTGTTTGTTTGTTTGTTTGTTTGTTCTCACGCGAAAGCTCGAATCGTGTTTTTTTTTTTTTTATTTCCACGGTGAGAGATTTCACGGTTCGTCCGTGTTTGTTGTATTATTATTATTATTATTATTATTATTAAGATGATAATTATAAGAATAATTGGGAGGAGGTAAATCATATAAACAATTTTGAAATTAATTGGTTTAATTGTTGCAGGAATCTGACGTACTTTCCGATTCTTCGACTTCACACTCAATGAGCAGCAATGGGAACGATTCATCGAGTATAATAAATGGTAAAAAAATTTTTTTTTTTTTTTTTTATTCTCTCACTTCTCTCCTTCCATTCGGGGAGCGGGGGGCGGGGGGAGAATTAACCGTGAGACTTTTTCACCTCTTTATTAAAAAAAAAAAAATGTAAATTGTTGGAGAATTAACCTTGGCATTTTTTTTTTTTTTTTTTTTTATAGAACGTCCTAAAAAACCTCCGCCTCCACCACGTGGACATACGTCAGATGCCTGGAACGTTAAACCTGCGAGACCGCCTCCGCCGAAAACGATCGAAGTTCTTCGTCAGTCAAATTCTTCTTGGTCTAACACCGTCGAAACGAAATCTGATAATCTTTACGCCAATTTAGGTAATTTTTCAATTTGATTCTTTTGGGAGGGTGTGGAGGGGGGAAAGGTTTTGAAACCGTAATTTGTTATTGTTATCAGGGGAGGCGAGAAGTGGTTTGGCACCGAACAAACCGATAAGAACTGGAAGTTTAAGAGAACCCAATTTGGATACGTCAAAAAGGATTCCTCCGGTTACGACGACGCAACCCGAGGATAGCGATTACGAATCGTTTGTAGTGTCGTCTGCTTCGCCCGTGAGTTTTCTTTTCTTTTTTTTTTCTCGCGCAGAAAAAGATGGCGGATGTAAGATGTGGAAATGCATTTTTTTTTTTTTTTTTTTTTGGAATTTTCTTTTCCCAGCAGATCGATGATAACTTGTACGAATGCGTTCAATCATCGAAATTCAGGTCGAGTTTACCCGAATGCGATTCACTGACGGATTGTTCTAGTTTGTATGCCAAAGGTAAAAAATCAAACGTCACGTCGAGAGACGTGATGAATCACAGGCGTTCGGAGGGTAACGTTGAATTAAATTCGGATTTTAAAATGAAATTTTTAAGATCCATGTCACTACCGTATTGTGCCAGCGAAACGGAATCCGAAATTTACTCTCCCTACAGTTTTTACGGGAGCGAATTGGTGAGTGAATGACCCGAGGGAAAGACTTGAGGGTATGAAGAGGGAATTGTAGAAAACAAAAAGGGGATTTAATTGTTTCGTTTGCAGGGAGAAGAAGATTACGACGTGTCATCAACGAATCAAATGTTGAAAATAAGTCGTCTAAAATTAAAAAAAGGACGATCGATCGTACATAAAAATCTAGAAGATAATTATGGGGCCGTGATCGTCGCGAATCACGAAGCTCTCGCACAAGTCATAGAACAAATGAGACAGGGCCCCACCGTTCCCTCGTCTCTCAGGGCTCTCTCGACGGCTGTGAATTTGAGATGGACTGATTTCGTCATAGGTCAAGATGCGACGGGTGTCGTGGTGGAAAAAAGAATTTTTTATCCCGCCGCGTGGGGAAGTCACAACGTCACGCTTTGCTTGATGGCGGAACAAGGACTCAAATCGAGTCTTCATGCCAAAGGTCCGTTCAGTTTGAATCCCGTTGCGGAACTCAACGATTTGGTACCGTCGTCGTACCTACCGATGTTGAAAAAAGAAGATTCGGATCCGGTTCAAGGTAGGGGAAAAAGTTAAAAAAAAAAAAAAAAAATCTGCAAATTCATCATCGTTTGATGATGACTAAATTGTTTTTCGTTTCAGCTTCCATATCGGTTCTCACAAGACTTCAGATAGAAACGGTGGAAACTTACGGTAAGAATTTCATACACGGCTCGACGGTGAGTGAGGAATCGAAAAAAGAAATTCATTTCGTCCTCCTTCAAATAATAAACGCGTTCAAAACGTTGCAAGCCCAGGGAATAGAAGAAGCATCGATAAATTTGATGAATTTGGTCGTTTGCCGAGAGGAAAAAGATCCACATCCGAGGATATGCATAACGGATTCGTTCGAAAGATCCGAAAATGGAAATTCTCTCTGTCAGTGTCTCATACACACGATAAAAGAAAATTTTCCACCCACGGATTTGACGAACCTTTTGACGAGCATATTGCTCAAAGAGAAAGCCACGTCGCTGTCGCAAGCGAAAGGAATACTCGAATTCATATTGTGGGGACCCGCGGACATAATATTCGGGAATTCGAATCGGGAAAGGGAATCGTGTTTGCAAAGGTGGTTGGATTTGGAACGTGCCACGGTATTGCACGGTCTCGTGAGAACCCGAGCCGAACTCACAGTTTTCGAAGAATGGCAATTGTTGTTTCTCGTTAGAACGAGTGCGAAAATAATGGCGGAAGCGTCGTTGCTGTTGGAAAATTCGGGTCACGAAGAAAACGTGTCGACGGCATGAGGAGGAGGTCCTCATTCGGATTCGGATATAAAAAAAAGGGAAAAGTAACGGTTGCTTTTGCTCAATAATATTATATAAAACTCTTATTATTATTATTATTATTATTAATAATTGTCGAATCGTGTCGACGCACATACGCACACGAATGCCACGCAGTAATTTAATTAATTTAATTTTTTTTTTTTTTTTTTGGCCATATATACCGTAAAAGTAGAATATGATGATATTTAGTATTAGAAAAAGAAAAAAAAATGACGACGATGACGATGATAATAATAATAATTTAAATATGCTTACGTCACATTTTTATGTTCAGAAAAAACGTCACAAATTTTGTACGCGAAAAAAATTTAAAGTTTGTCGTCTTCCATATAAATATATATATATACAAATATATTTAACGTATTTTTGTAATTATTATTATTATTATTATTAATTTTTTTTTTTTTTTTAATTACAAACAGTGATTCACGTGCCTTTAATGTTATTATTATTATTATTAATAGGACTACCATAAATGCCGTTCGATGTGTTTTTTTTTTTTTAAGCGAATAATTTTCACGCAAAAAATGATTCATCGTAATGGCGATAAACGCGACCGTAAAAAAAAAAGAAAAAAAATTTTCTTTGTATGTTTTCTCTCTCTCTCTGTCTCTCTCCCTCTCTTTCACTTTCCCCCCTCCCCCCACCCCTCCTCTCTTCGTGTTATCATCATACGTTATCGTAATAATTTGCATTATTATAATAATCGTTATTGTTTTATTATTATTATCATCATCATAATCAATCGTTTTCTTCAATGTAATTAATTTATATATATTTGTAGCAATTATTATTATTATTATTATTATTAATGTTGATAATTTGTAATTGAATTTTGTAATGATTGAACCGAGTAATAATAAAAAGAAAAAATTAATTAAAATAATAATAATAATTTTTATTATATGATTTTACGCATTGAGTTGTATTTATTCATTTCAAAAAAAAAAAAAAAAAAAAAAGGAAATTGGAAGGAGGGGGAAAGCGATGACGTCACGGAAAAAGGTAAAAATAATTAAGTAATAATAATAATGTTCTCTCATTCGATTTTTTTTAAAAAGAAAACCAGGAAAAATGAAGGGGAAAACTTATTTCAAGGTCGGCATTTTTTTCAAGGCCACACGATGGATTCTATCCAGGGAACGTATTTGGAGACTCTCGTGTAAACGGCTGGAGAATTTTTAAAACCGCAAAATTTACCAAAAGAAGTCACGCCGACGATGGAATACGTGCAACGGGGACTTTGGTTGAGGATTTGCAAAGGGCCTCCGCTGTCACCGTGACACGTGTCTTTTCCGCCATTTAAATTTCCCGCGCATAGTTGTGACGTCACAATTCCACGTTTCAATAATTTCTCGCCGACGTCGGATGAATACGTTTTGTTACAAATGGAACGATCGATGAAATCAATGGAAACTTTCATCAAATCCGTCGTGCCCTCGTACGAATCTGTTAGCAAAGGGAGAAATTATTTCGCGGGGGTCTGGGGAGCGGGATAAACGACGGGATAATAATGATAATAAAATTCATTACCGTAATTTTCTTTCCCCCAACCCGTTGCTATCCCTCGTTTAAATAAAAATTCTTCGTCGTCATTCGTATTGAGACACGCGGGACGTACGAATTCGTTAAATCGAACTTTCTCGAACAGTTTAAACAAAGCGATATCGTTGTATTTTGATGGCGGTTTGTACCTGGAAAAACAAGAAGAAAACACACACAGGGACCTTGAGAAAAAAAGGGGGGAGAAAAAAGGCTCGAAAAGAAAGAGGAAAGAAATTTTTACCGACTTTGGATGATTTATACGATTTTTTATTTTAACGTTTTGAATCCATGAATTATCAGAATTTAAATTTGTGACTCCCATTTTGACAAACGTGGCGAAACCTCTAAAAAAGATTTTGTTTTTCCGTTAGAATTATTATCAGAAGTTAAAAAATGTGTTGTTTGTTTGTTTGTTTGTTTGTTTGTACCTGTTACCACTTTTGCTACAATGTGCGGCAGACAAAACAAAATTTTCGCTTATCAAACTACCACCGCAAAGCCACAAAAGGGATTCTATATTTTCACCATAACCAATTGCAACCTGTAAATAAAACGGAAATGATATAAATTGTAATTTTAAAAAAGAAACCGGAAGTGGAACGTGGACACACACCATGTGTGGAAATTCTTGGGGTTTTGCTTTTTTACCACCGATAATCAATGGAACGCTATCCATTGTACATTGTGATATTTTATTCATTTTCATTTGTTGAGGAGCTAATAATGTCAAAGCAGAACTTTCTTGATAAATTAAATCGCCATATTCTTGACATTCTAGAAAAAAAAAAAAAAAAAAAATCGTTATTCGACTTGACGAGAAAATGAATTTTTTCATTTTTAAAAAAATTACTTTTTTCACTTTTTGTTACGTATTTGTCACGTTTTGAAAAAATATATTCGGATGAATTTTCATTTATTAAATTCACATTTTCAATATTTTCCTTCGAATCGTTTTCACCTGGAAAAACAAAACAAAAGAAAATTTTTTTTTTTTTTCCGCGTCCCATATATTGGTAAAATTCAATTTAATAAAATATTATTTAATAATTTACCTAAAATTAATAATTTATCTTGAATTAAAATATTAAAAACGATTGTCAATATTAACGCGATCATTTTTTTTTTTTAATTCTTTCGATGAAAGATATAATTAATAAAATAAATAAAAGAAAACGAGATAATTATCTCGATCCGCCATGTTTTTTTTTTTGTCGTTTAATGTAAGCAGTAACGGATTTGATGTTGATTGACGGTTACGAAAAAAGTTAAAATGGCGGACAAAAATGGCGGCGGTAAATTACGCGTGAGTGTTTTAGATTATTATTTTTTGTTTTTTTTTCCCGTTTGTATATTTGATATTTTGAAATTACGACGTGATTTTAAATTGAAAAATTAAGAAAATTATAAATTTTAACTTACGTACGCCACTGATTTAGTTTATTATTTGTAATTAATAAAAATTATATTTTGTTATGGACGATTAATAATTGAAAAATTAAATTGAAAATAAATAAATAAAAAAATTTTTTTTTTTTTTTTAAATTGGATTTTATGTTTATCGTCATTAAATATTATTATCATTTCATGTTTTTTTTTTTTTTTTTTAATGTATGAGTCAGTTGATGGACGATGGAGTTTTTAATGTAAATAACGATTATTACTAATCGTACTTTTATATTCATCGATCGTAATCTATTATTATTATTAATGAAAAGTAATAAAGAGTTTTTATTATTATCATCATCATAATGTTATTTATTTATTTATTTAATTAAAATAATAATGAGAAGAAGAAGAAGAAGAGGTTCAACGGACTTTATTATTATTATTGTTATAGAATTAGATTATTATTATTTTGGCGGGAAAATAATTGATTTTGATTGGCCAATGAGATTTGTCTTGCACATGATATTAATAAAATACAAAATGTCGTTCATTGTTATTCATTAGAAAAGTTACTTTCTTTTATTCTATTTATTTATTTTTTTAAATGTTTTCGTATTAAATTATATAATTAAATTTGTTTAAAAATGGTGAGTTTTAATTGTTATCTTCATTTGTTAAAACGAAAATTGAATGCGTTTACGGGACAAGAATTAGATGTCATTTTATGTGGCACAGCTGTCATTGCCTTTATAAGTTACATATAACCTTATCCGGTTAATACTTTTTTTTTTTTTTTTTAATTATTATTTTGTTAGAATCAACGTTACGGTGAAGTCTGGTAAATATTTATTTTAATTAATTATTTTTTTAAGGGAAAAAATAAAGTTATGTAAAATCATAGATCAAATTTAAAAAAAAAAAAAAACAAAGTTTTACAATCCCCCTGTACAAATGATTCAGTGCGTTATGGATAGTTTTGGGATTCGTGAAGAGGTTAAAGAACGAAAAAAATCTTGGTCAGAATTGAAAAGAGAAGTTTGCGAATTGAGGAGACAACTTGGACGTTTATCTACTCCCATACCAACTTCTATTTCTTTTAGAACTCTGGAAGATGGTCGTACTAGGATTTACTTTTTAAGTATTCCATCCAATGGATGGGAAAACACTTTGTTTTATGTTGATGTTGTTAATAGGTTAGTAAATGAAATTATTTTTTTAAAATTGACCTGATTTCATGTATATATATGTTTACTCAATTCATTTTTAATTATTTTATTATTATTATTTTACTAAGTATAATGAATTGAGTCCCCATAAATAAAAATTAACTTCGAAACCTGAAACTTTCTTTTACGTATTTATTTTTTTTTAAATATAATTTTATGTAATCTTTTATATGTTTAACTTGGATAGTTTTTTTTATTTTATAGTGAAAATCAAGGTTTGGAAAGACTTAAATGGCATAGGATAGTAGATACAAATTTTCTTTTAACTGCAGCTGGTAAATTTTCAAGAGAAGAACAGTTGCAATGGGAACGTAAACGTTTAGCCACCTGGGGCATAACTTCATATGAACTTCATCCTGAATCAGGAAAACTAGTCTTCCCTGCGGCATCATCACTATTTCAATGTACTGACAGTGATATGGTAAGTTTCATAAATTTTTGTCATTCATCATTTTTTTGGTGCATTTAAAAAATCATAAATATTTTATTTAAAATTTATTTTAAAGTATCCTACAGAACTCACATCAAGCACAACAGGTGCAAAATTAAATCCACAAATTTGTCCCTCTAATCCTTCTTTAGTTGCTTATATCTGCAATAATGATATCTGGGTGACTCATACTTCATGTGGTTTCACACAAAGACTGACCTATGTTCACAAAGGGGATCGAAGTGTACTCGATGATCCGATTAGTGCTGGAATACCTTCTTATGTAATGCAAGAAGAATTTAATCGATTTCAAGGTTTCTGGTGGCAACCTAAATGTTTAGGTATTTTCAAAATGAACCACCCAATTGCAAACCTGTGTTGAAAAAGTAATTTTAAAAAAATGTAAATTTATATTTTTTTTCTTTTAAGACAATATATATAGAATAGTGTATGAAGAAGTAGATGAAAACGAAGTGGAAATTTCCCGTTTTCCCTTATCGAAAACTGGAGAAACGGAAGAGTTTCGCTTTCCCAGAGCTGGAACTCCAAATGCAAACTGGAATTTAAAAATGGTACAATTTCAAATAAATGATTCATTTCAAATATGTAACGTAGCCTGCTTGGAATTAGGCACACCTCTTCGAACCTTATTCCGCTGGGCAGAATATTTGGTTAGAGTTGGATGGACATCTAATTCTGAACAGTTAGTAGTTCAAAAAAAAAATTCAGTAAAGAATTTGTAAATCTAACCATTTTTGCCAATGATGTAAATAACAAAAAAAAAAAAAAAAAATTTAAATTTACATGGCGTCCTTTTTAATTTTTCAGCATTTGGGTACAGTTACTTGATAGAAGGCAAAAACGTTTAGAATTAGCGCTGCTGGCAGCCGATCAATTTTTAGACGTTAGAATAATTAGTTCCTCAGAAGAATGGTTTAATTGGACTCCTTCTTACAGTGTTATTTGTTGTCAAGAATCGGATATATGGATCAACGTTCATGACATATTACATTTTTTCCCTTTTAGTAATAATTCTCCGACTTTAAATTTTATTTGGGCTAGTGAAGAAACGGGTTGGAGACATTTGTATTTGTTTACCAGCGTTCTTTATCCGCACTCGAACGGTGTTGCAGATGTTGAAGGTGCGATTTCAAATTATTTAAAATTTTCAGTCTGGGAAATAATTAAATTTACCGGGCTGTTTTTTGCTGCAGGAGGAGGTGGAGGAGGAGGAGGAGGACACATTAAAAAATTTACTGGTCACAGTATACCATTAACGTCTGGAGAGTGGGAAGTTTTAAGGAGAAACGTTTGGGTCGACGAAGAAAAAGAATTGGTGTACTTTTTAGGTTTGAGAGAGTCACCGTTAGAAAAACATTTGTACGTCGTGTCATTAAGGAAACCCGGTAAAATTCGACTGTTAACAAAACCGGGTCATTCGTACAACATAGACATAAATAAAGTATTTACAATTGTATACGAACACGAAGATTTTATTTCATTTTGTCAGGAAAAATAACGATTTAATTTTATTTTAAATGTATTTGTAGGAGTGTACTGTTATGGTTGCCGTTTACAGTAACATACAAACACTGCCTTCTTGTCAGGTATTTAAAATAAGGTGTACGGATTACACTGTCGACGGAATTGTTCTCGAACCGGCTGGTTACTTGTCGGAACCTTCATCGACGGTCGCATCCGTGTTTACACCTGAATTATACACCTATCAGATCTCATCGGGAGAATTGCTTTACGCAATGGTTTTCAAACCCCATTCTTTTAGTCTCGGAAAAAAATATCCGACGGTGGTGAATGTGTACGGAGGACCGGAGGTTCAAGTAGTTTCAAATACATTTAAGGTATTGAGTCGTGCATAAAAAGAAATTTACGTTTAATTTCCGCTCCTAACGTTTTCTTTTTTTTCCCCCCCCCTCTCCCCTTTTCTAACATAGGGTATGAGACAATTACGAATGCACATGCTTGCTGCTCAAGGGTATTGCGTAATTGCTATAGACTCGAGAGGATCTCAACACCGAGGACTTGCCTTCGAGGGTCATTTAAAAGGAAGAATGGTAAATATATTTATATAATTTTTTTTGCATGACGTCATTCATTGTACAAAACAAAATTTTAAAAATTTCAGGGAACTGTCGAATTATCGGATCAAGTCGAAGTATTAAAATGGTTAGTCGATAGTTTAGGATTTATCGATGTGAAAAGGATAGCCATACACGGGTGGTCGTACGGAGGTTATTTAAGTTTAATGGCTTTGGTTCAGTATCCTAATATATTTAAAATAGCCATTGCAGGTACGTACCAAAAAAAAAAAAAAAAATTCGGTCGAAAAATTGCGATGATTAATTCGGTATCGTCTCCATTTTGAAAAATTTCAGGTGCGCCGGTCACGTGTTGGAGATTGTATGATACAGGGTATACGGAGCGTTACATGGATTTACCCGATCATAATTCTCGCGGTTATAAAATGGGCTCCGTTCTTAATTACATAAAAGATTTTCCTGACGAGTTAGTATAATGTTATTTTTCGTTACGATGTACCTACGTACCCCCCCTCTCTCTCTCTCTCTCTCTCTCTCTCTCTCTCTCTCTCTCTCTCTCTCTCTCTCTCCCTGATCGTTAATCTTTTTTCTTTTTTTTGTCAAAAGGGAAAATAGATTGTTAATAATACACGGTTTGATCGATGAAAACGTACATTTTTCACACACGAGTAAATTTATCGATGCCATGGCGAAAGAAGTCAAACCCTACGAACTTCAAATATATCCGAGCGAAAGGCACAGTTTGAGAAATTTAGAAGCGAATCAACACTACGAAACAAAACTATTATCATTTCTACAAAACAATCTATAGCTTTAATAACAAACGACAAACGGGGGGGGGGGAAACTTTGTAATAATAATGATAACTTTTTTTATCGTTAACCGAAAACCTAATTCGGCGCGGGGGAGGGGGGGAAAAGAACAGATCGATTCTTTTTGCGGGTAAAATGATTAAGTACGGACAGACGAAATAATTTATGGTATTATTATTATTATTATTACGTTGTTACAGTAATTATTATTGATGCTTTTTCATCGCGAATATATATATATATATGCAAGTTAGTTGTAGATAATTTACAAAAAGGTGCTACCGAGAAAAAAAAAAAAAAAGATTTTTATTTTGTTTGTTTGTTTGTTTGTTTGTTTGTTTGTTATCATCGTCATCATCGTAAATAATTTTTTAAATAATTAAATTGCTTTATGCGCGATTGAATTTTTTATTATTATTATTATTTTTTTTTTTTTTGAAATTTAAATATGGCGCGTGTGCAATAAGATGAGTTTGATTGTAATTAAAAAAAAAAAAAAAAAAAAAAAAAAAAAAAAAAAGGTACGGGGTTTGAAAACGAATGATGAGATAAAAAGTTTTTTTTTTTTTGAATATTTATTATTATTATTATTATTATTTTAAAAAATTTAATCATTAATCCAATTATTAATTATTGACTTTTATTATTATTATTATTATTATTAACATTTTATTATTCGCAAGCTAGTCAAAAGCTTTTTTTTTTTTTTTTTTCTCTTTTTTAATTAAATAATAATAAGTTTGATAAAAATTTTTAAAATGCCAAAATAAAAGAAAAAAAAAAAAAAAATTTAACATTTGTATTTTAAAATTTTGTTTTATTATTATTATTATAATTATTATTATCATTATTATCATTATTATTATTTTTTTTTTTTTCTATTGTAAGATTAGGATTACCGCTAAGAAAAAAATAAGAAAAGAAGAAAAACGCATGAGATTGTTGTTGAGTTTTATTAAAATTTTTTTAAAAACAATTTTCATCATTATCATCATCATCATCATTATTATTATTATTATTATTATTATTATTAATATTATTATTATTATTATTTTTTAATTAATTTTTCATTCTACATGAAAAGATAAAAAAATAAAATTTTTTAAAAATTAGTCATGCTTGTTTTCGATTAATAAATTAAATTGAAATTAAATAATTATATATATATATATATATATATATTTTTTAAATAAATAAATAAATAAAATAACTAATTAATAAATTAATAAAAATGTTTTGCTTAACTAAAAAAAATTTAAATTGTAATTTATATCGATTGATGATAATTAATTAATATCGTTTAGTTCCTATTAACATGTACATATGTTTATTTAAATATGTAAATTTCATAATTTTCAAAAATGTTTGTTTATTAAATAAGAGAAAAATCTTGTTTTGAAATTAATTATTAATTAATATTGTTATCAAGTGATTTATTAATGTGAGAAATAATTAATAATAATAATAATAATAATTTTTATGCGATGGAATTTATTTTTTGATTAATTCGAAGAATCATATGGTCTGGAAATTATACGAAAAGAAAATTTTTTTATTTTTTATTTTTATTTGAAGTTTTTGTTTTTGTTTTTTTTATACAGAATGCACTTTTACATTTTTTTTTATAATAAGTTTTATATACACATGATGAATAAGTTGTGCATGATGCAAGTTTTATCATAAATGTACAAAAAATTAAGTAATAAATATGTAATATAAAATTTTTATCGATTTATTGACAGGTGCACATAAAAAGTCATTATTATTGTTGTTGTTGTTGTGTATATTTATTTTGTTCTATTGGAACATATTATTTTTATTTTTTCTATACATACATATATAAACTTTAAAACTTTATAATTGTTATAACTTAATTTTGTTTTTTTTTTACAGTTTTTTTTTTTCGCTTTAATATCTTACACTAATTTTTACTTATTTGAAAATTTTGTCGGCGTTCTCTTATTTAAATATTTATAAAGGTAATTAATTCTTTTGTTAAGCGACGTCCATTTTTCAGGGAATTCATGTTGGAATTTCGTACCCTGATAAACTTTTTTTTTCAACGTTAAAAGTTGAAATTCGTTTCCTTTAACACCTCTCAACCATTTGGGTACGTCGTACTTTACTTGAAAGGATTTTAATTTAAAATCTCCTAATATATCTATATAATCGTTTTGTCCGAAAGTAGCCTTTTCTTTCGTCCAGGAATTCCCCGGTTTATACGTCATTCCGTGTACTTTATCGGAATATTTCAATCTTCCCAACAAACCTCTTCTCTCTACTTTGTCTTTGTAACCAAACTTTGATACGGTTGGTCCTTTGGCAATTTTTTCCGCGTAATATCTATGCCTTACGGGAACGTAATTTAATTGAGAAATCGTTTTAAAAGTCGTATTGACGAAACTTTTTATCAGACCACTCATTTTCGTCTTTAAATAATATTTAAGACAAAAAAAAAAAATTTTTACATTAGTAACTTAATATGTTCCATTTATTTAGCTTACGGTTGAATAAATTATCGTTTCGAATGAGAGAATCAAACAGGCGGTGGAATACATATGGCAACACCGGAAATTTCCGTTGCAGTAACGTTCGAAAATTTTTTTTTAAAAAAAGACTTTTCAGTGAAATAAACCAATAAAAAAAGAAAATTATGAAGAATTTGTGGAAACGTGAAAACCGTAAGTAATAAATAATCAATTTACAACTTATTAATTATCGATTTTTGAATTATTTGAAACAAAAAAAGAAAATATATGTGTAAAAAAAATTTAGTTATATATTCTATTATAACAAAACACTAGGCTAGGTTAAAATTTATCTTAAATTTATATTAATTTAACATAATTGATAAAAAGTGTAAAAATTATAATCCATATTGAAGATCGGAGTAGAATTCCTGTAAATAGAAAAAAACCTCGATATAATTAATCGAAACGTTATTTGTAAAATGAAAAAAAAGAAAAATTTAACGGTCACCTGATGAATCATGACAATCATCATTAATTTCATAAAATCCTTCTCTACATTCGCATGTGCTAAGTAAACGTGATACAAATTTACAATCGTATTTTCCTTTCGTTTCCGTATCGTATTCACAATCATCCACACTAAAACACGGTGAATGTAATCCTAAAGAAACAAACAAAAAGATCAATCAAAAAAAACAAAATGGACGTTTTTAATGTGGAACAAAAAAAGGTTAGAATTACTCGTATTTTGTATGCATTGTAGCTTATATGAATCCCTTTTGAAACCTCTTTCGCAAACGCATTGTCTTATTATCGGATCACAATAGGTTTTATTCATGACTGAATTGCATTGTCCATCTTCTTGACAATATGTCGTTAATTTCATTGATGGTAAACACATTGTTTTATCATTAGATGAAACATAATCATTTTTACACTTACAAAAGCCAGATATGCATTTGGCATTGTTTAATGCTGAACAATCGTAATCTTCGTTACATTTTAAATTTATTTCTTAAAAGAAAAAAAAAAAACCCAAACGTGAGAAAGGAATAATAATTTAGAAATGGATGAAAATTTTTACTTTGATTTTTTACCTTTTGGAAAACATATATCACTTCCTAAATCGTATTGATAACCGATTTTACACGCACATATTTTATTACCTTTACAATATGAATTTCTCGTTATGCAATCTTCATCGTATAAACAATCGCTACCTAAACTTTCTGTTTGATAGAATATGGTACCCCCCCTCCCCCCTCCCCAGAAGCAGGGGGTAGAAAGAAAATTTTATTATTATTATTATTTGTTTTTTAATTACTTATTAATTTTAAATTTTAACTTACTCTCGTTAAATAAATAATAATTTGTCGTTTGTACTGAAGTAAAATAAAAAAAAATTAAAAAATTAATACTTGGAGCCATTACTACATTACTTACTATCTTGTACAAATAAATGTGTGTGTGTGAGAGAGAGACAGAGGGGGGGTAAAAGATAAGAAATTATTATTTTATATATATAAATACATATTATGATACAGTGGCGTAGTCAGGTTTTCACAAAAATAATAATAATAATATTTAATTAATTTTTTTTTATGTTTTCCAAAACATAAAAATTTTTTTTTTGATTTTATTGATGTTTAATTAATTATTTATTTATTTAAATTTATACTTTAATAAATAATTTAGGGATCTATGTATATGTATACATAGATTTTATTTATAAATTAAATTATTGATTCATTCTGATAAGAATTTTTATATCTTATCATTTTATAGATTAAAAAAAAATACCTTTGATTCGATTTTTCTTTTTTTTTTGTTTAAATATTATTATTATTATTATTATTATTTTAACATTTGTTATTTGATACGTTTGTGTTTGGCGGATTGTTTTTCAGAACATTTATTCCAGGTTTCTAATTGATCCCTAAGGAATAAATGCTTGAATATGGGTGATGTTGCATGTCTGAATAGGTTTTGTTTTGTTATAACCTATGACGTCACAATAATTTTTGTGATGTCTGCCACTGAGATCATCTTATTCGATGGGAACGAGGTAATTCCTGTACTCGGTTACTCCGGGAACAACATCTCTGGAGTAACCGGGATCTGGAGATGTTGTGAAAATCACAATCCTCGTTTTAGGTATTCTCAGGTCGAGACAAAGAACAAAAATTGTTTTAATTTTTATTCCCGTCGGATTGTTTTAAACATTAATTCCTGGTTTTTACATTAATATCCCTAAGGAATAAATGCTTGAATATTTAATTATTATTACTATTAAATTTTTTTTTCTATTAATAAGAAAAAAAATATTTTCACAGATTTAAATTTTTCAATTGAGGAAAATAAATAAAAGAAAATCTTTTTAAAAAGTAAAATAATAATAATAATAATTCGAATTAATATTTACTTTATTATAAACTCATACATACATACATACATAAATAAATATACATAAATAATTATTAAAAATTTCAATTAATTATATTTATCATTCGATTCAATAACGTTTTTTAGTTTATTCGGAAAATTAAAAATTAAAATAAAATATTTTATTTTAAATAATTAAATTAATAATTAATAATTAATAATAATAATAAAACAATAATATCACAATTGAATAGTAATAATAATAATAATAATAATGAGAAATAATTCAGGCACTTTTTTTTTGTTTTTTTTGTTTTTTTTTTTTAAATTTTTTGCCTTCGCATATAATTTCATCGTGGAACCCTCCTCCCACTTTACCCCGCCCCCCGAACAAATCTTTTTCGCGCCATTTTAATAAACTTATAAATAAATATAAATAATAATGATAAAAAACAAGTTTATGATTTTAATTTTAAGTTTTTTTTTTTTTGGTTTTTATTTGACCATTTTTAAATTTTCAGAGTATTTGTTTGTTTGTTTGTTTGTCGTAAAAATTGATTGTTATTCATCTTTCCAACGACAATTCGTCCTTTTTTCTTCTAAGAGGTTTCGTGCAAAGGTATAATCCTCCTATTATTATGAGCAATGTAGGCAATCCCAAACCGATGCACATGACGAGTATGACCAATAGGGAAAATTTTTCCTGTTCCGGACTTCCATAATTCATTAAAAAAGTCCTATCCAAAGAGAGAGAGAGAGAAAATCATCATCATCATCATTTATTATAAAATTTGACGTAAAAAAAAAGAAAAAATTACCACGAAGTATAATTAGTCTTTTTATAGAATCCATCTTGTGACGAACCCATAGACACGACGATCCTTTCGATCAAACAATTTTTTATATCATCACCGTGATAAATGAGGGGTAGGGAATCGATCAAATCATCGTCGTTCTCGGAATCTGGTGACACGTTTGCCAAATTATACGCCACGATTTCCGACGAATTCGTTATGCTTGGATTTTTCGTGACGTAAATGATGGGACGCCATTGTAAGAAAGCACCTCTGTGTTTTTGATTCAATGATCCCGGAGTCATGACGTCAACCATCTAGTAGGGTTCAAATCGCAATATGAATAAGAATCCCGTGGGAAACGTAATTTTTTTTTTTTTTTTTCGTACTCACGGAAAATATTCCCGGTGAATTTTCATCATCCGTATTTTTCCTTAATATTATTTTCGAGGATGAATTTTTTTTAATGTCGTCATCATCGTCCTCGTTCGAACTCACGAGTAACATTTCCAATGCGAATCGACGACTTTCGTTAAAACCGGAATCCGATTTTAAATCGTCTAATATTATTTTTATTTGTGTCGAATTTGGAGAATGTAAAAGTCTCGGAAGTTCGACATCGTGATTTTCAAAACCGAAAGCGGTGATCTGGAAAAAATGAAAAACCTTTTTTTTTTTTTTTTTTTTTTTCCCCCCCCCCTAACGATTCGTTTGCATGTCAATGACGACATTTTTTTTTTTTTTTTTTCGATGACGACTCGAATAAATAAATAAATAAATAAAACAATTAAACGGAAATCGATAATGCGAAATGTAATTTCAAGTTCGAAATTAATTATTTAAAATGTTATATCGGACAAGGGGGAGGTAGGGGAGGAAGGGAATGGGAGGGGAAGGGAGAAGGAAATTTTTTTTTTTTTTTTTTACCTCCATGACGACTCGTCCCATAAGATTATAATTCGGATCCGAATGATTGAAACCCGTCATGACGATTTTAACGAATTTCCCATTTTTATCCCCTATCAATTTTCCCGTCGTTTCCCACAGAAAATTTTTCATGTCGTAGGTAATAGTTTTCGAATCCGGCGTTAATATACCTGTATCGTTGACGTCATTGAATTCTATCAGCTGAAAATAATAATAATAATAATAATCATCATTTCGATTACGATGGTAATTTCCGGGAGAACTCTTTTCCCTTCACCCTTTAAAAGGGGGGAAAGAAAATTTTTAGAAAAATTGCGTGTTTGAGATTTTTCCAATAACGCAGGAAAAGGGTGGTCGTCCCTGTTAACCCCCCCCCTCCCTTCTTTTTTATCATCAATCTTTTATCATCGACGTTACGTGTTTGTTGTTTTTATCGGTCAGACACAATCATTTCACACTCGCATTTTCTCTCTCTCTCTCTCTCTTTCAAATCGTTATCATTCCATCTTTCTTACCTTATTGAACAAGAGTGAAAATTCGTACGAAGGAACTTTTGTAAAATTAAACGAATGTGGATACCCGTTGATAAAATCGTTACAATCGAAATGAAAATTGGTATCGAGATCGGTTTTAGCTAAAAATAACGTCGGCTTATGCGTGAAATCCCAAAGGTAGTGAAGAGTATCATTTGGTCCCTCCGCTTTGACATAATTTATTGACACGTTTTTTATTCCGTTATCGCAATATGGATTTCTCGTATAGTTTAACTGTAATAAATAAATAAATAAATAATAATAATAATTAAAACAACATTCAAACGTTTAATCACTTTTAGCGATAGTAATTATTATTATTATTATTAAATCAATTTCATCGATTTTTATTTTAACCTCAAGCAAGCAAAAAAAAAAAAAAAAAAAAAAAAAAATGATTGTGTTGAGGGAGGAATTGATGACCTGTAATTTAGATTTGCGTGACGTCACGTTTCAATTTATTTATTTATTTATTTATTATTATTATTATTTTTTTGTAAAACCTTTTTAAAAGCTCTTGATTTTTTTAATAATAATAATAATAATACTAAAAAGGTTTAACATATGTATGTATTTTTTTTTTTTTTTTTTTTAATCAGGCATTCATTCGACAATAAACAAAAAAATTATTTTTCTAGTTTATACTAATTAATTTGTTTTTGGAATTTATAAATGTTTGAATTCGATTTTAATTATTTAATGTTGTTATAAATTTGTTGCGACTTTTTATTAAATAGAATTTTGCATTCGATATTTGTGATATGTCAATGAATTAAATATATTAGTCATCATTGTATTCGATGACATGTAATTTATCATTAAACTTGTTATTATTATTATTATCAATAGAAAATGTTAAACGTTAATATTAAATGAGACTAAATTAAAATTTAACAAATGAATACTTTGTGACTTTACAACAAAAAATTAAAAAATTTTGACATTACATGCATATAACATACATTTTTATTAATTTTCTCTTATTATTATTATTATTGATTCAAATAAATTGTATTGTCGGAAGATGCAAATAATAGATAAAAAAATAATTTAAATTTAATGTATTTCAATATGAAATATTTTAAATCATGTTGTTTATAATTTTAAATTAATTTTAATTTTTTTTTTTATTTAAAAATTTAATTCTTGTTAGGAAAAAAAAAAAAAAAAATTAAAAATGAGAAAATACAGTTTTAACATTAGTTTTATAAAAAATATAAATGATAAAAGTAATCATGAATTGAAACTGTCATTATTCACACACATAAAAAAAAAAAAATTAAATTTAAATTAAATTTAAATAAAAATAAAAAAGAAATTAAAGTAAAAAATAATATTACCCTTCTTTCGAAACCGTGTGCAATGTTAAAAAAAAATAATATGTATAAAATAATAAACATTTTACTAATAAAAAAAAAAAAAAAAAAGTAATATTTTGATCATGTAATCATGACAATGTTCTGACAATGTTTCATCGAACGCGACCACACTTTATTGAACACAAAAAAAAAAACTCTGATTAACAACACATTAATCATAATGTTCGTAAACACAAAACGTGGTCGTGGTTCACCTTTAACGCATCAAAGGGAAATATGTCGCCACTTTTCAAAAGTTGTCGGATTGTTATTTATCTATATAGAAACTTGTTATGTTACATGATAATAATACACATGGATTCATTATAATAAAAAAAAAAAAAACGGTTTTAATCATGAACGCCGCATGTAAATTGTCAAAAATTTTAGCTATAAATGCAACGGAAGATTTAAAAGGAAATTTAGCATCTAAAAGTCACAAAGTATTATTATTATTAATATTTTTATGTGTTTTTATTCACATAACTTGAACTCTGATAAACAAGCAGGGTTAATGTTATTTATTTTACTTTAAGTTATTTTCACATTTGGGTTTGGCACGATGTAAGAACGGATTTAGCTATTTATCACCGGTTTTAATTAAATCGTTGCGGAAATTAGAAATATTGGTACGTGAGAAAATGAACGAGATATCGGCATTAGAAATGCTCTTGCCATTGTTGACGGATAAGAAAATTTTTTCGGCGTCCGGAAAAGCACATTTGCCGGATTTATTTAAATTTAATCAAAACGTTAACGAAAGTTATATATTAAATCCGACGTGCGAAGAAATCGTATCGGAATTGTTAGCATCGTACACACAAATGTCATATAAAAATTTACCTTGTCGTTTCTATCAGATTTCCAGTAAATTCCGGGATGAAAAAAGGCCGAAATACGGTTTGTTGAGAAGCAAAGAATTCATAATGAAAGATTTATATTGTTTCGATTCGACGTTTGAAAGTAGTATGATGACGTATGAAGAAGTTAAAAATAAATATAAGGAATTTTTCAATAACCTGGGAATACCTTATGTTGTCGTCAAAGGTACAGAAGGTGATATAGGCGGTTTAAAATCTGATGAATTTTATTTCATGGCAGATGTAGGAGACAATAATTTAGTTTTATGTCAAAAGTGCGGTCATAAAGAATGTATTGAATTTGTTAAACTGAATGATCAAGTTTGTTCGAATTGTCAAAATGGAGATGTTAAAATTTTCAAAGGTATCGAGGTAAGAATTTTTGAAAGGGAATTGAATTTCATATGAAAAATTTTTTTTTTACTTGCCATTAACCATTGCTTTTTTATCATTAATAGGTTGGTCACACATTTCAAATAGGGACAAAGTATTCAAAAATATTTAACACAAATTATTTGAGTAAAGATAATGAAAAAATACCAGTGGAAATGTGTTGTTTCGGTCTTGGCCTCACGAGAATTTTAGCAGCTTCAGTTGAAGTTTTATCTAGTTTTAATGAAATCAGATGGCCACATTCGATAGTTCCCTATCAAGTGTGTCTCATACCTCCAAAGGTTGTATTTTGGTAGTAAAACAAAAAAATAAAAATCATATCAAATTTGTTTTTATATATTCAAATATCATTTTTTAGAAAAATAGCATTGAAGAAAGGCAAGGAGGCGACATTGTAAATATATTATTTAACGAATTGTACAGAACTTTTGGTAATGATTTAGTCGTCGATGATAGAACTTCGATGACGATTGGAAAAAGAATACAATCGATTAAAGAATTAGGTTTACCATTTGCCATAATCATAGGAAAGGATATAATTAAAAATCCTCCTCTTGTCGAAGTTTACGACGTGTATAAAAATCACAGTACATTTTTACAAATAAACGATTTGTGTCGATTCATACAGGATAGAATAAAGGATTTTAATATTGATGAAACAATATTAAGAAAAAATGAATGTAATGGATGATTGAATTAAAAAGTCACAGCGCATCTTATAGTCAAGTCCAATATGTAAGCTTTAAATTTGAAATCATTTCAAATAAACATTCATAACCTTATTTTGATTTATCAAAATAAGGATTTAGAAAATACATTTAATGGAAAGGATAGACGAGTCGAATAAATTTTTAAAAAATTTTTTTTTAAATTAATGTATTTTCTGTTAAAAATAATAATATAAATATGTATAATTATAAAATATTGTTAAAAATCAGTCTTTTTTTTTTGTTTTAACAGAAAAGAAGATTAAATTTATTTCCGCCTATGACGTATGCATGTAAATATCAAGTAATAAAATTATTAAAAATTACCTTCGATGATTGAATCATTAACTGTTATTCGATTAAAATTTAACATTTAAATTAAGGATACACATAAATTGAGGTATTTAAAATTAAACTATTTAAAAAAAAAAAAAAAATTACATTTATCTATATTCGAATGATGAACATCATATTTTGTTTAAAATACAAATCGAATAAAAAATACTGGCTTAATTATGCTATTAAAAAAAAAAAAAACTGAGTAAATAAGGCACTTTGATTATTATTATTATTATTATTATTATTTAATAACATTCATTTTAAATATGATGTAATCATTTTTATATATATATATATAAAATAACAATAATAGTAATAATAATAATAATAATAATTACGATAAGGGTTTATATATAAATTTATAAAAAGATCATTTGATCAATGGGAAATCGGCGGATTAATGTACATATATATATATATAAAAATAATTGTCGATTACATTATAAATTATGTATATAAACTAATTATTATTACTTGTAAATAGTTTTTCCTGTAGGGCAACAAAATTTTTGATTTAGACCCTTTTTTCTTTTGTAAAAGAAAATCAATTAGGCACGATTGTAATAACAATTTTTCTATCCGGCCAAGCGAACGTTTTCGGAAACGTTATTTCATCCGTATTTTGATTTAACATCTCGATATCCGTTATCATTTCCGTAGCAAAATCATCCGGTATCAATACCTGAAGCCAAGGTCCGTGTGCTGCATAGGGATGATCGGAATTGACAAAAGTACCCGTGACGGATGATGCCACAAATGTGATGGCCGTGTCTCCGAGAACGGATTTAAATGTAAAATGACGTCCGTGTTTGACTCTTCCCCTGGAAAAAAAAAAAAGGTAATTTTTATTTAAAATTATGTTTTTTTTGTTTGTTCTCGTTATGAAAGTTATTAGTCGTACCTTAGAGCTAATGGAAGAAGAATTCCAGATTCTAAATTAAATGTCAAATGTATTCCTTCTAAATGTACAACATGAACTAATTCGGTGGATTCTGCAAAGTTACCTTGAAACATGATATCGCTTTTTCTAACGCTCACACTGTAAATATACAAGTCAATAATTAATACTTTTTCCAAAAGGTATCAGAAGGTTAGAAACTTTGGAAGGAAAAAGAGGACATACCTGTCAAAGTCTTCGAAATCTTCCGTTTTAATTAACGAATTGTTTATTCCAGGTTTTGAACTTAGCAAACCTTTTTTAAGTTCACTTTTTATTTGTTGACTTTCTTGTTCCGATATTCTAGGCCCCCCAAGTTCTGATTTAGCAATAATTGAACTTTGTTCATGTAAACTGCATTCAATGTCAAAGTCTTTTTCAATCCATGAACATTTCGCACTAACACCACCTAAATTTGATCCCTCAGTTTCGATACCTTTTTCAATTATTTCCTGAGCGTTCAAATCCAGTTCAAGCATACTTTCCCCTCGTCTCATGTCAGTGACCAACCATTCTCCCCCAGCTCTAAAATAGCAATTGAAATGTACAGATATGTAAAATGAGGTTTATAACTATTTGTAAAGGGAGTTACATACCCTGGCAATCTTTTTAAAATGTCCAAAACTCCAGCACCGTTCCAATGTTGAGCTGCTTGTAATTCTTCTTTAGTTATTCCAACGATTTGAACGAAATTAACCGGTCCGAATGGGGTTTGCACAGTTCCAAGTTGTAAATCTTGATACATAAGCATGTGTTGAATTCTAGATTCAGAATTATCAAGAGCACAATGCCAAGACACATGATCATTTGGACATAATGTGTTTCCTTTGAATGAACATGAAAACATTTTAAAAATAGAAATCAATTACATTTAGGTAAGAGAAAATAAATTTACCAACCAGAGCTGAAAACATATTTAGCAAGTGCTTGCATAACTGCTGCTGGCCAAGTCGGTGGTGCTGTTTCTTCGGGTTCTCTCTTAAGTCTAAATGTCAATTCAAAACCGAAACCGCTTGGAGAATCAGAATCAGAAACTTCGTGTACTCTTCCATCACCATGTAAATCGGATAAACCAAAACTGATGTAATGCCAATGCGGTGGTACATTTATGCTCGGATTTCCAGGATTTAAATACATACTTATATAATCTAAAGGATCTGGACCACCCAACCTGACAAAAAAAAAAATAAAATAAAATAAAAGTATTATTATCGTCTGCATAAATTTTTTATATTTACAATGAAATTGTCGGTAAGTGCAAATAATAATAATAATAATAATAATAATAATAATAATAAAACGATTAAATTTTTTAAAAAATAATTTATTTGTTTACATTACAGGTACCGTGTTTACGTTTTTTAAAGTCAAACAATGCCTGAGAATAATATGGAATGAACGTTTACCAGTATTTAATAACCGCAGTTACTTGAAGTGGATTTTCTTGTTCCGGATAAATTCTTCTACAGAGGGAATACAATGCTTCTAAACCAGGAGGAGTCGGTGGAAGCACGGGTAAAGCATGATTTTTAATTCTTGAATTGTCTTCGGCCATTTCTATTTGATAACGCCAGCCTTAACCGAGTTGATTATACAGCACACAAAACAAAAGGGTTGTAAGTAAATTACTACTCAATAGATGTCTCTGATCGCAAAAGGTTCGTTTTAAAATTTTCGTATATTTCCTTTGAGGGAAAACATGAATGAGAGACAAAATTTTTTTAGGAACAACTTTAGGTCATTTTTTTTTCTCCAGAAAATAATAATAATAATAATAATAATAATAATAGGAAAATGTAATTTAAAAGATTCGAAACGAACGATTGAAAAAGTTATGACGTTAAAGTATTATAAAAAGATTTGTTTAATAGTAGATTGTAAATGATAGATAGGGTCTTTTAACGTTACCCGCGATGATTATATTTTTATTTAAATTTGCTAAGGGTTAAGTTTTGCGGTTAGAAAATTTGCTCGGGTTTAATTTCGTAGGGGTTTCGTAGGAGGGGAAGGGAGAGGAGGGGGAGGAAGGAAAAAAGGAAAAAAATTATTTATTAATTTTATTTATTTTCAAAAAGTGTATAAATCATCTTCAGCGCTTTTAAAACTACTTTCAGCCAAACTTTCGACCGTTTCGAGTTCTTCTTCTTCTTCCTTATCATCATCACCGTCGCCATCATCATCATCATCGTCATCACCATCGTCGCTACCTTCGCCTTCGATTTTAACGGATTTTTCTCTGTCGTCTCCCCCGTCTCGGGTACCGGCTTTACCTAATTTTTTCTTTTCTACGCTTATCGTGTATTTCTTGGGTCTCGGAATTCTCGGTAGATCGTCGAAAACGTGAGGAGGTTGAGGTTCGCTTTCTCTCTGTGCTTTTTTAATGGCGTTTTCCCTGAGCAATTTACGTTCGTCGCTTACGTCCATAGGACTACCTAAAAAAAAATTAACCGATAGGATGCAATCATTGGGCCGGGAGGGGGCCAGGGGGGGCCGGGGGGTCGTAACGATTAATAATCGAACGTAATTACTCGTTATCAATAGTTTAAGAACTCTTTTCGAACATGGATACAGCAATGGGTCGAATAATCTTCTTTGCAATCCCAATATTCCAATCGTTATCCCTTCTTTTTGTATTTCCGATTCCGGTAGGAATAAATATTTTTTTAAAAATTGTAATCTTTTATCATTTCCTCTGTGAAAGAGAGAAAGAGAGAGAGAATGAATAACGAACGAAACCAAAACAAAAACAAAAAAAAAAAAAAAAAAAAAAAAAAAAACGTGCTCAGCCTCATAATCTTTTCTTCCTATCATAATCAATTTGGGTTCGTCGATTAAAAGAAAATTATGAATTATCGGAGAGTTCGATATCAATCGATTCGCTTTACGATTTTTCCTTTTATCGAATTCCGATATTTTACCATGTAAAACGACAAAACTTTCTTTTTTTATTTCGTTCAATATGTTATAGGATGAATTTTCCGACGTCGTATCGAAATTGTTAAAATAAACGGTACGAAATATTCTTTCGAGTTCGATCTGAAACGATTCGATATATCGATTTTTATATCTCGCAGCGAGAGAGAGAGAGAGATTGAGAGAGTATATATATATATATATATGATAATGATAATTACTCTGATGGTGTTTAAATATTTTCTTTCTAGCGCTATCCAAACGACGATCGTGGAAACTTTTAAAAAACATTCGAAAACGATGATTTCGTCCGTTTTGCTTATTTCTATGGATGACAATTCGGAAAAAATGACGGCCGCGTAAAATCTACCAATCAAAACTCTCAAATCGTCCAAATCTTCTTTCATGGATTGATGAGATGACGGATTGTAACGTGAATTTCTATTCGTTTTTAAAAACTGTTGAGTTTTCACGACCGTTTCGCACGTCTGAAAAATACGAGAAGACACGTGGGAGTGAGGGGGTGGGGGTGGGGGTGAAAGGGGACAGGGGGGAAAACGTACCTGAAAGAAAAATTGTAAGTAAACGATGCATGATCTGAGTAATTGATTGACGACGGACACGTTGAAAAATTTATAAAATAAAGTCGGTAGGGGTTGCATGCAAAGAAACATGGCGACGATTTTAATGTCTTGTATTGTGACGATGTGATCTTCCCTCCCGAGATTTTTCTTTTTCAAATAATGACGGAAATTCATTAATTCAACGTCGCTCACGGTTGATTTAAATGTGAGATCGACTTTCATCGTGGCATAAGTTAAACCGTTTATACCCGTCGTACGTTTTTTTTCTTTTTTTTTTTTTAATTTTTTTTCCTTTGTCAAACTTGAAACAAAAACAAAAAAAATTATTATTATTATTATTAAACTCGGCGGAAACGGATACGCGAAAGTTTTTACAATGGCGATGATGTATTCGATGTTTTCCGATGTTTTCCGATGTTTTTTTTTTTTCAATAATACCTTATCAATTCTAATTCGTTGTTGATATCGTTCCATACCCCTTGTCCCCCTTTTAAACCTCTGAATAAAAGGGATGATATACTCATCGTTTTCAAAAAAAAAAAAAACTTTTAAATTTTAAATTTAAATTTAAAAAAAAATTTTTTTAACCGGAAAAGACTACAAAAAAAAGTTTTTGAATTTTGATTAAAAGTTAAATATAACTTTTTGACGGGAAAATTTCGAAAAAAAAAAAAAAAAAAAAAAAGAGTGAGTGAGTTTTGAAACAAAAAAAAAAAAAAACAATTTTTTTTTTCTTTGTTTTTTGTTTTGATTGTGTTTGTAAAAAAAATTTTTTTTGTTATCGTTCGAATTCGAATCGTTCTCGAATACGCCGTCATTTTTTGAGTTATGCTTTTTGTCAAACGCGAACGTTTTTAATGTTGAACAGAGTAAAAATTTTAGCGTTTCGTTAACACATTTATTTTATTATTATTATTATTATTATTATTATTATTATTATTATTATTGCTGTTGTTGTTGTTATTGTTGTTGTTTTTGCTATTTTTGTTGTTTTTGTTTTTATTGTTATTGTTGCTGTTATTATTTATTATTATTATTATTATTATTATTATTATTATTATTATTATTATTATTATTATTATTATTATTATTATTATTAATTTTATTATCGTTTGTAGGTGAGAGCATCGAAATTGGAAATTGTCCGACGATAATAGTGATGATAATTGTGTGAAAAAAATGCCATAGTAATAGAACACCACCGAAATCACCCAAAATATTATTTTATCAAATTAGTCAAAACGTTGAAAACCAGAAAAAGGATTTTTACACACACGCACGCACGATCAAGATGGAGCCTTTGGATTATCATGAACGACGAATAATAATAAATAAATAAAATATGATGAATGAGGATTAAATAAGTTCCTCCTAGTATCGAAAAATGTAAAAAAAAAAAATAAATAAATAAATAATTTTCCCTTACGGTAAGAAAAATTAAAGCGAGAAAAATATTTTTTGTAATTTAAACTCTATTATTAATTTTTACATAAAAGTACATAAAAGTTTAATAGAAATAATAATAATAATATTAATAATAATAATAATAATAAGGACAAAAGAAGAAATCACGCACCTGGATCGAAGAACAAGGAAAATATTAACTATGAATGGTCCGTTACATCCAAAACCTGATGTGGATAGATTGTACGTCAGCAGGAAAGATATCTCTCTCTCTCTGTCTATATATATATATAGATATAGATATATCTCTCTCTTTCTCTCTTTTCTACATTTTCATAAACTAAAATTTATGGATTCGAATGTTTGTAAAAATAAAAAATTTTTTTTTTTGTTTTTCAGTCGGAAAATGTCCGGAAATTTTTTTATATTGATTTTCAATCGATGGCCGACAGCATCATCATCATTACATCATCATCATCGTGTGACGTAATAAAAATTTAAATTTTTCATTTATAAATCTAATGCATAATTTTAAATATCATTTTACTGTCGTTTTTTTTTTTTTTTTTTTTTCAAATTTTATTCCTCGTTTTATATGGTTGTATATGGTTTTTTTTTTTTTAAAATATTTTCTGATGTATTTAAATAACAGTTTTATAAAATTATTCATGCGATAAATTTAAAATTATAATAATAATAATAAGTTACGTACGACCAAGATCGGTTACGACAGTAGGTCCATGCACAGTTCTATATGATCAACAAATCCACACTGATAGAACTGGATATCATACTCAGGCATAATGCGGAAAAATGGTGTAAACTAATTGAAATATCCGTGCCGGCAGAAAAAAACACCAGACAGCCAAAGAAGCAGACAAAAGGGTGAAATATAGAAATTTGGAAATCGAAATAGCCAGGATGTGGGGAGGTAAAGACAGAAACGATTCCGGTCATCGTGGGAGCATCACTGGGAGCCATGCCACCACATTCAATGAAAGGAAATTTAAAAAAGATTTTGAATAACCTAAAAGAAGGAAAAACCATCCAGGAAATCGCACTATGTGAGACGGCCCCTGAAATTCTTCGGAAAATATTATAAATAGCATCACCGAAATTCGAGTATTTGTCCCTAAGGAATCGGGTAGAAAAAATAAGGAGAAGAAGAAGAAGAATTAAATAAGTTATGTTATGTCAACTTATTTAAATTAATTTTTATAATTTTATTTAATAATTTAGTTATGTTACATATATATTAAAAGTTTTGTAATATAATTTAATTTATTTTAATAAAATTACTTTTTTATATAATTTGTTTTTTATTTGTACTCCGGATTTTAAGCGAAAATCCACTGTTCCATTTTATTTTTTATTAAAAAAACCTCCTTGGATCTTATGTTTTACGGATACATCGGAAAAAAATTCGTCGATTAAAAATTAAGTTAAAAATGACCGCGAAAATCCAACGTTTACGATTTATTCTAAAGTAGGTCGACCTTGAATCCAAGGCCATTAGTTTTAAATTTCAATTTTGTGAAAATTTTCATGGTCACGATTTTTCAACCAAGGTCGACCTTGTTTACTGTTTACGCTAAGTAGGACGACCTTGTATATATTTTACCTGGCACACATTTTATTTTAAGCGGGAATTTTATTTTCGCGGGAACCCAATGTTGCATTTTTTTTTTTACTTTTTTTTACATTTTATTTTGCGTTATCATTTATTAATATATTGTAGCACTGATAATAATAATAATAAAAAAAAAGAAAAGGTGTAGATATCATATGAATAAGGAAAAGAATACATTGAGTAAAAGAAAAAACTTATTTTTTTTTTTTTTTAAATAATTATAATTTTTATATTTATTTATTTTTTTTACTTTATTTATTCATTACACTGTATAAAACATTATAATTCATTCAATCGTGAGTAAGAGAGAGGGATAGAGAGAGGGATAGAGGAAGACACGGTGATAGTAAGAGTGTGGGGGGGGGGAAATAACATCGGTGGGGAGCCAAAGTGAATGTGACTTTTACGGATCGGTTGGGAAGAGAGGGAAAACTTTTTTTTGTGATGGGGGAAAGAGAAACGAGAGGTAGGGAGAATTAAACGATAATAAAATGAATTAATTATTATTATTATTATTTTTATAAATAATAATAATAATAATAATAATAATAATAATAATATGCCGTCGCACGGGTATTATTTATAATTTTGATATTTTTTATATATCAATAAATCCCGTGATGTGAATAATTAATTTAAAATAGGCCTTTGAAATTGTATCCATTTTTTTTAAATTATTTAAAAAATAAAATAATAAATATATAATATCATTATTATTATTATTATTGCGCACGGGACGCAAAACTCGCACGCACGCACTCACACATTCACACGCACGTGTACATATACATATATATATATATATATATATAAATAAATAAATAAATCGAAATGCCATTTACATTCTACTACTGTACTTTACATTATTATTAATCAATCAATCAATCAATTAATCATTTATTATTATTATTATTATTTATTACATCTACTTAAATAAGAACCCTGCGAATTATTGCTGAAAGTGAGAAAAAAAATTTCATTTATTTATTTATTTATTTATATATATATATATATATATATATGTTCACGTGTGTGTTTACATAAATCGTGTGTTCTATATATTAATTACGTCACGTTTAACGGTTAAAAAATAATAATAATAATTATTTATTTATTGTTGACATCTTGGACACAAAATAAAAGAGAAAAATAAAGAAATTTTTTTTTGAACGCAGTGACTTAATAAATGACATACATAAAAAATACATGACTTAATAAAAATTCGTTTCTTCCGGTAAAAAAACATAATGCGATAATAATAATAATAATATTAATAAGCATAATAATAATAATAATAACAATAATAATAATTAACGACAAACGAACAAAAAACAAATCGTGACGTAATTAACAAAAAAACAATAAATTTTTTTCATTTTATTTAATCAAACCGAATAAACTCGGTGTTATTATTATCATTATTATTACTATTAATTCAATTTCGAATTAGTAAATAAGAAAAAAAGAAACAAAATTTTTTACACATGTGATTTTTTACTTTTTTGTTTGTTTGTTTGTTTGTTGAAAGACAGTTTTTTTTAGGCCCAAAGACAAAACAAAAAAAAAAGTGACATGGTGTCCTTTAACATATATATATTTGGCCATTCAACATTTAATTAATAATAAATTTTTTTTAAATTACATATATAACCAATTACGTATAAATCTTGCTTATTATTATTATTATTATTATTATTAATTATTAATTTATTTTTATTTATATTTTATTTTAAAATGTAGAGTTACTTTTTTTTTTTTTTTGGCTTAATTTTAAATGAAAATTTGGTAACGTAAAGTGGGTGAGGAAGGAAGGGAGGACCGAAGAGATTAGTGAGGGGGAGGGGGTTGTAATGATTAAGGGAATGATTTTTTATCTTGTCTTTTACTTGCTTTTTTTTTCTGTCGTACATAATAAATCAATTAATGAGAGAAAGAGATGACAATTAGAAAAACTAAAAGAGAGAGAAAGTGCGAGAAAAAAATTATCGTTTACATACACTTATTTTTTTTTTCCCATTCCTAATTTATTTAAACAAACAAATAAACAAACAAACAATTAAACTTGTCATAATTATTATTATTATTATTATTACTGATTCGAAATTGAAAGAAGAAAAAAAAAGTAACTCTACCGTATAATACCGTATAAACTTAAATATTTAATAAATATTAATTACATCTACACATATTCATATAAAGAATTTTATCATTATCATTATTATTATTATTATTTATTTTTTAATCATCATCATCATCATCATCATCATCATTATTCATTGATTTCCTTTTTTTTTTTTTAATTTTAATTTTTTTTAAATTTTTTGTCGAAATAACAAAAATAAAAATTCCTACTTTAATATATATTTATTTATACATCGATATTTATTTATTTATTTATATATATATATTTATATTTATATATATAATAATAAAAAAAGAAACATTATTATGATTAAGACATATTAAAAATTGAGAAGAGACAATAATATA